TTTGAGTTTCATTTAGCGTAAGAACTCATGGGCTGTTGCTGGCATGTAAGAATTTTAAAGCATTGTCTAGCATATGACTTAGTATTGACTTGACAAAGTTTCATTTTCACGTGCTCTTCGTCTTTCGCCAATTATGACACTTTTGTATATGTATTTAGTATTAATGATTGGTTTTAATCATATGTTTAGTTAACTGCTAATCCCATGTAATGGCTTAAGAAAGTAGTTATTTATCATTGTATACATGTTCTCAGATCAGGTGCAGGTTGTGTGCTTTGCAATATCCATAGAGAGAAACTTGAAAGATTGGAACTTTTTTTCTTCTATAGCAAGCTTGATAGCGTCGGTTCAAAGTTTCCTGCATTTGAAATGTATAAGGTATGCTTGTCATTCCTGTGTACCTGTAATTCTTAATCTTTTCCCTTGCTTTTCTCTTCTTCCACGGGCGTCAGAAGAATCCGAAGCAATTTTTTCTTCCGTTTTGAGAGCACGAACCGCACTTAGAACAGTTTCCGCCGCGTGCTTTGTTTAATCCAAATTGCGAGAAAACCTTTTGCGTTCCGCATGGACTTGCATTATATTCGAGTGGTTAGTCCATAGAAAAGCAGCAGATTTAACGGCTGCTTACTGCCGTGGCACGGCGTGGTCTTTTCATACAATATTCGAGCAGCTCAACAGTACGTAACAGAAAAATGTGTATGTATTGTATGGTCGAAAAATTATGTTTTTTTTTTTTTGCAAAGTTTAGGGTCACTACTCTAGATAGGACAAAGGGCCAAAATTCTTTAAATGATCGATTAATGCTCGATTGGATAAATTCTTGTAACCATGAAATACTATTGCTTTCTTCAGTTCACATTTATTTATTATAAGAATTAAATAAAATTTTAGTATTTTTACAGAAAACTCTGGTATACGCAATTCGTCTTAGGCTTAATAGAAGCACTGTCAGCACTTTTTTATACAATTTGTTCTTGTTTACAGTATTGATATTTCAAAACACTTTATATGTACGCCGATCCATGTATGTATGAAAATAAGCATGTGATAGTGTGTGGGTGTGTAAGTTTTTTTTGTGTGATTAGCTTTTTGTTTTTATTCTCTTTTTTTTTTTTTTTTAGTGAAAAGAATTTCTAACCAAACCACACAATGCGTACCTCGGCCTTCTGTGCTCCTACACTCTGCTCCCGGGTTTGTTATCACATCATTTGCAAAAACCCCAACTTATCAATTTTTGCATTCAAGAAAAAAAAAAAACAAATAAAAAAATAAAAATATTTTTTGAAATATTTTTTGTACTATTTTTGTTATATATGTTAATATTAGGATTCGCTTAGTATGTGGAACAAAGCAAGTAAAAACAATTACATTCGTTTCAAACCGAAGTCCGGCTATCCTTCACATTATTCTTTTCTCTTGAAGTTTTTTTCGTTTGTCTCATCAGTTGATCCGCCGACCTAGCTTTGCCATACATGTACTTTAGTAACTGTGCTACTATCAGTTTGTTTGAAAGTTTTGTCAATATATCAATTATTGCGAGCATGACAATGTCTTTTGCAATTCTTATCGATTAGCAAAAATTATAAACTTTACTGGTCAAGTTATAGCTTTAAGGTTACTTTGAAGGAACTATTCCAGGATAGAAGGACGGACGGACGGATATACCTAAATAAATTAAGATTTTTTAAATTTGCTACTCTATGTAACGATGTTACAAATGGAATGATTAAGCTAGCATATCCTTACTCTCATACTGATGGTAGTAGACGGGGGGGGAAAAAGAAATATTCTTAAAATTGCTTCTTTTTTTTTTATAAATATATATATAAAAATTTTAATAGCAGCATTGCAAATGAGGATATCAAACAATAATTGCGGTGTGAAACAAATGATGTAAGAAATCATGCACCACATGCCAAAATGTTTTATTTTTTTTGTTTTTTTTTTTTCTAAACTAAATTCAGCTGAATTTTTTAAGGTCCGCAAAACCGCGATTATATAAAACAAATGCAAAAATTTGCAAGTTTCTTATCTCAAGTAAACTCTTCGCTATGGGGTTTTTCTATTCATTTTTATCCTATTAGCAGAGATTCGAATTTGATGCGAGCTGTCTGTCATTATAAGTAAATAAATATTTACTGATTATCAAAAAATATACATCAAAATTCGTATTGCTTTTGCACTCCGATTTCGGTTTCTTTATAGACTTTAGATTTCTAAAATTATTTATTATTATTATTATTATACGTTGCACTATTGTACTGTAATTCAAAATTCTTCAATATTTAGCTTTTACTATATATGTGGGACGTATAAGAAACAGAATCTTCTTTTGACGATAATTTTGTCAAATTAGTTTCATTTTTCAAAAATATAAACCGGTTTAAAAATATAAAAAAAAATAAATAAATTGAACACAAAAAATATTTTTACAAACTTGCTTATCGGCAAATTAGAGCCGAAAAAAGTGTTCAATCAGTTTATTGGTACTATCAAAAAGTATTAGGTGAAAAAATCCATACATACGAGTTTTCAGCGACACCTGGGCTGAGAAAGTTGATTGGAAAAGTTAAGTCAATGAGGAATCACTGCCGGTTTATGAATTAAATATATATGTTATAGTCCTACAATCTTTTACTTTATGCAGATCGAAACTAAGTTCACTTCACCAGACGCTTGAGCTCTGGAAAGCGAATGCTAAACGTAGCTAAGCGTAAGTAGAAATGTTGCTGATAGCAGTCTTGCTGGAGGTTGGTTGGTTTTTTCAAACAATGAATGAAAGAATAACAGCTAAGCTATTTATAGATCACATTTGGAACTCTACAAAAAGTGTATCAAGAAAAATTGTTTGCGAAAATTCATAAGTTATCGTGGCCCATAAAGCTTGTCAGGATTTCCAGTCAGGCAAAGTTTCGAATGGATTTTGAGTACCTAGGTGCATGATGTAGAAGAAGAGACATGACGGAAAAGGGATTTTATAAACCGCGGTAAATGAGTTCAAAAGTCATTAAAGGATCATGAATCTGTTTGCAAGTGAAAAGGTCCTATAGGCAGAAAACACAAGATGCCTATTACACGATTCTTAACAATGCTACTTTATTCAATTATTTCTATTTTCTAAATTCTTCTTCTAAATTCTAAATTTATTATTTCACTACTCATCTATTTTTGCAGTCAAATAAATTTCTAGGAGATGGAACGAACGAATGAAGAATATCAAAACGTATTAAAGGGATTCCGTAAGCGCAGTTTATGCTGTCAGATAGTCCCAAAGGAGATATTGTTTTCATTTGTTCTGTTCTGATAAGAAAGACGAGCTTCGTAACTGAACAGGAATAATGAAAACCTGGAAAAAATGTGACAAAGTGAAAAAAAACCTGAAATGGATTAATTTTCCAGCTTTAGAAAAAAAAAAGGAAACTTTACTTCAAGCTAAAATGTATACGAAATCTAGACAAAATTATTTAGCTCAACATCAAGTAAAATATAAAAGTAGTCATAACAAAACATAACATAATTTCCAAATGTAACATATGTAAATATGAAACCGGAATTATGAGTGTATTATGTGGAAATGCTAAAAAATATGTTATTCGTAGTTATTCCCCCAGCTATCTATACATTTTCTCCACTTTTCTCATGACTTATAGATGCCGCGCCTTTAAGAATCTTCCCCTTTTGTCGCGAACCCATTCATTGAGTCATTTTTTGATCTCTCCGCACGAATCAAGGCATTGCTTAACAATTTCATGACCTATCGTTGCAAGAAAGTCATTATCGGAAGGATTCGATGCTGTTGACCAAACCGCCTGAACAAGCATTTCCTCTTTGAAGGCTTCGAGCGCGAATTCGCGAATTAGTTTTACATTATTGATGGATGGTCGGATGGTGTGTAAAAAATGCCCTTGTGTTACTGTAGTACTGATGGGTAGGTTCATCCGGTCTTCCTAAAAAGCGAACATTGAACCAAACTGAGCATATAACGTAAATTTAGCCCAGAAATGAAGTATATTAATAAATTCGATTCACCAATGGGATTCCCCTCAGTCTCTCCAATCTTTCATGTCCCCGTGTTGTCCAAATTATTTTTATCGCAAATTTGCGCTAATCGTTTAGGTCAGTGAGAGCGAATTGGAAGGAAAACAGTTTACGAAAATATTCTTGTGATTATATCGGCTATTCCTTCACATTAAAATGGATGATTGAACTTTTTGTAATAATTAATATGTTAAGCTGTTAAATGATAATTAATTTTACACATAAATTTGGACAAATATTATCACAGAACCAACCAAAGTATAGCATTTTACTAACTTTATTTAATGAGCAGAGACATAATTTATTTTCTATAAAAAGTTTTTTTTTTCCACGATATAAAATATAATGTAAAAATAAAAATAAATTCGAAAAATGGTGAAAAATATTGTTTGAATGATGTAAACAAGCAGTAGAGCTAACGACTTAACATGATTTATAAGTTAAATTTTTCAATACTAATAATAATAATAATAATAATAAGGACGAAGAAGGTACTATGAAAATTGTAGTTTGTTTAATGCATCAAAAATAAAAATAAATAAATAAAGAAAACAGAAAAAAAAAACACGCCTCTCTGACGAAAATCGTTTTTAACAAAAACATAAATAATAGTATGATGGCGGTTAACGCCATAAAGTAAAAAACAAATCTGTAGGCATACGCATCTGTCACTCACAAGAGAACACCCTATAAATTTTTCCGTATTTTTTAATTAAGCCTATATACAGCCTTTTTTATCCTTTCATAAAAATATAAAAAATTTACATAAGTTTGTATGTATCACTGACTACTGTATATATGCCTATATAGGTATGCATATGTTTATGTATATATATATATATATACATGTATATATATATGTAGATATATAGGAGTGAGATTTAATGTTTATATGTATTAATAAACGTTTGCGTATGTATGTATACATATATATATAATTTTATATACTGTTTAATACGTACATGCTTCATAGGCGCTGATGTGCATAGCATCATATTTTATTATTTCCGCAACGATTTTGATGAAACATACGCATATACTTGATAATTATTATTATTGTTGTTGTTGTTGTGTTGAAAATATTATGCGTAAATATTAAAGACTTTACGCATACACGTATCACTGCTGATGCTTGAATGAGGTTTCAAATATATATACACGAAATAGCGACACTCTTTTGCCCCTCACACACACACACACACACACACTTCAAATCGACGTTTGTTAGAGTAAGAGTTTGCTGTGTTGGTGTAAGGGTTTATTTATTTTCTTTTTTATTTTCATCCACACGCACGCACATATATGTATATATATATATCTATAAATGTATATATATGTATATATATATATATATATGTATATATATGTATATATATGTATATATATGTATATAGATATATATATAAATATATATATTTATTTTTAAATTAAAATGCTTGGAAAATGAAAATTTTGCAATTTTCAATTTTTATTTTCAAGGGGAGCACACGTAAAACGTACGCACGCACACACCCGTCTAGAATACTGTGCGAATAATAATAAACAAAAGATACATCATCCATACACAAGAGCGGTTGCGGTAATGATGGTGGTAGTAGTAGTAGTAGTTGTTGTTATTGTTGTTGCAAAAGTAGTAGTGAGTGATACGTTTGTGTGCGTTGGTTAATGTGTGTGTATATATTATGCGTTATATATATATATATATATATATTAAAGCTAATGATGGCCAAAGGTGGTATTATGGTTACTGTTGCTGTTGCTGCCGATGGTGACGATGGTGACGATGATGATGCTGATGTTGAGGTTGATGTTGATACTATTATTGCTGCTGTAGATTATGTTGTTGCTACTTTTGATGTTATTGTTACAGAAGACTGTGTGTTGCTGTTAATTGTGGCACGCAAAGTATATAATAAACGAAATTTTTTTCCAATTTTAATTTTTATTTCGTTTTCCTCTATACTTCGCTTTTTTCCTTCTTCTTTGCACAAAAATAAAAGCGAAAAAAAAAGCCACACTTTGTTTTTTGTGTTAATATTTTTGCTTGTATTCTATTTGTTTAATGTTGTTATACATTCACGTTAATGATAATTTCAGACATTAGTTAGTTGTTGCTGTTGCTGCTGCAGCTGCTGCCGGTGATGTTGTTAGTCACTGCTATCACTATTGAGGTTATATACAGTATTTGTAGGGATTTTCGTGTTATTGTTTAATTGTTGGTTATGGTGGCTATGTTGTTATTATTGTTTTTTGTTTGCTATGTGTGTGTGTTTTTTTGATTTTTTGTTCTTTTTTTGTTGTTATTAATTATATATTTTTTTTGTTATTTTTGTTTTTTTTTTAAATGTTATTTTTGATATGTGTTATTTATAAATATATACATATATATATTTTGTAACTACACATACGCTCAAACGCTTTTAGTAAGGAAGAGAAAGGTCAGATGTATATATCTCTAAGAGATATACACAGACACATACTCACACACACACACACACGCACACGCACACACAAGCACTCATACTTTATATATATATATATATATATATATATATACATAATCTATATATATATATATATATATATATATATATATATGTATGGACCGGTACACACACATGCATACACAAACGTACAAACAAACCGCGCGCGCACACACAGGTCTATACTCTGTGCTATCTACTATAGTTGAACTCGTTGGTATTTGTGGTATTTAGGTGTTTATATGCTTACGGGGCGGGGGAATGCTTGATTTAATTCCAGGTCCTGTGTTAAACAATTCAAAAGTAACAAAATTGTGATACTTTTTTAATTATTTTGTGATATTTCTTTTTTTTTTTATTATAATTTTTTTTATTATAATTTAAAAAAATTTCATTTATTTCTGTTCGCTTCTTTTTTTCAATAGCCTGTCTATGCCACATGTAAGTAATTGTTTATATGCGTTAAGTTATATATAGATATTGATTGCACTAGTTGTTGTTGTCGTTTTTCTTCTTTTTATTATGTTGTTGTCAATTACACACAATTTTTTTTATTTTTTTTATTTGTTTCAAATTAACAAACATAAAAACCCAGGCAATAAAAATTTTCTCTACTCTCTTTTTTTTATTAATTTCTTACATTTAGTTAAAAAAACCTAAAAAAAAGATTTGAAATTAAGAAAATTTTAATATATATATATATATATATATATATATATAAATCTAGAGATTTATATATAAATATATATATATGTATATAAATATATACATATTTACACATATATATATACACACATGTACATATATATATATATATATAGAAGTTTATGTATTCATTCTGAGACATTAACACGTTCTTTCAAGAATTCTTATTAAAAGAAATGTTTATCATTTTATGCGTAAATTTGTCGTTTTTCTTTTTTTAGGTTAAAAACACGTTGTTAAAGAATTTCTTTTCCGCCTTTTAATTTCTTATTTCATTAAGCTTTTTTCTGTTTTTATTATTATTTTTATAATTCTCTACTTTGTGTTTTCCTTAAGCATTGCAAAAAAAAAAAAAAACAAAAAGAAAAAGAGTCTTATGGTTGTTAAATGCAAAATTTGTTCATTGGTATGCGTTAACTTTAAGCGGGACTTTGGTTAAAGTATTCCACGCCTATGAATGAGATATTTAAGTGAAGGTTATGCTAAATCGAGTTGCTAAGCTTTAACAACTTAATGTCGTTTAAAATCTATATGTCATTAGTAGTTTAGAATTATCTGGGCAGTAATATTGCGACAAATATCTAAAACGGTCAACACCATATAACAATGTGAGGAGAAATCGAACTAATTTCATTTTTATAAAATTATTTCGTAAGATATGAAATGTGCGATGTGGCCGGAGCGAGAGGTTTTTATAAATATAAATCGTTTACTAATAGTTTTTTAGAAATTATGTATTTATTCGAAACTGGCAGATGAATATGCGAGCGAGTGTAATGTCGCAGCCAGATGAACTGACAGCATTGAATTTCCATTCTTACTCTTTGCTAAAGTACATACGAATAAGCCACAAGAGCGCTACGTTGTTTGGCGCAAGGATTTGGTATATAGTTTACATTATCGGCCCCTAACTTTTAGAAATATAGGTTTTAATTATTCATATGTCGACTTAGCAGTGTATTGAAGTCATTCATTCCTTATTAGGAAAATCCATTCATGAAACGATAAATTTTTTAGATAAATTCGTCCCTATCTATTGAAAAAACTTTCGGTAAATAAATAAAAAATAGTTCATTAAAGCACACTAATAATCTTTAGAAAATCTATCAACTGGAAAACCTAGTGGAAGGACACAATTTAGACCGATCTAATATTTTAATATGGAAGACTATTTTCGATTTTGCTTCGACATGCATGCCAGTTGAAAATTTTGTTTTTGGATTGACAAGGCTCTCTGTAAAAGCTAACTAGAAGACTAACTATCGTCAAATACTGTTGACAGATGACGTTGTTAAGCACTCGTTATCGGCGAATGTTCTTTAGAATTTAGATTGAAGATAGATTGAAGATTGAAGATTGAAGATAGTGCAAATTGTCCTAAGAAATGGATTTTATTTAAACTCAGCTGACATGGGAAATTAAATATCAATCCATCGTGCGCATCTACATTTCAAATTTGGTGGATAAATTGAATTTGTTGTTAGCTTTTTCATAAAATAAAAAAAAATATCTGTCTGAGTGAACGAGTAAGCAAAGGATCTCGACTAACAACTCGATGAGCGTAGAGTTTGCAACGAAACCAATATACTTAGACGCCAGTGCTTTAAGACCTTACTATCTAAATTTATTTCTCTGGCTAAATTAATTGTAATAACACTAATAAAAGAAGGAACATATGTACATTTATGAAAAAGTAGTAAATATTTCCAAAAAAAAAAAAAAAAAAAAAATGCAAACAAATTTATTTTCCATTTTCTTGCCCCTACCACGAATTCTTTAAATAATATTCCAAAAAAGGCATACGAAGTAATGTCAATATAAAAAAGAGAAAGAAGTTCAATATTTGGACACATTTTGTACTAAATCCGCTCATGTTTTAATGAGACCAATAAGGCGAAGCAGATCAAAAAAATATATTAGAAATAATCTTGAATTTTATTGTTTTTGTTAGTAAAATAATTTCATTAAATCAGAAAAAGAAAATCCTTCTAACAAAAAGGATTTTTTGCGTCTTATGCTTTTAATCAAAAATATATATTGAATTTTTATGAATCTTTCATAGAATTAAATTACCGTCTCGTCCCTTGTGCATATTAAAGGGTAACTCTCGCAAAATTTTGCTGTTCATGGGCGGCAGTCATAAGCTCTTTCCCTTTACGCATTTCAAACTTTATTCATTTATTTAAAAATTTGGAAATCAAAATCTCAATGAAAGGAATAACTCAGCAATTTCATTAGCTTATAAAAGTTATGCTATACATAAAGCAAAAGGATTCCAATCCTTTAAGTTTTAAAAATAACACAAAACTGCCATACGGTTAGCAATATTATTCCTTTTAAAGTGAATTGAACCCTTTTGACATTTAATATAATTGCATTAAAATCGCTTTTGCTAGTTCATGGAATGGAATGAAAAAGGGATCAATTTTTTTTTTTAGCACTAATTTTGTAACTTGGTAGTGTTCGAGGGAACTTTGCGAAGAGACGAAGCAACCTTTTCTTCAAATAAATTTTGGCGCATCTCAGTTAAGCAGGCGAGACGCTGTTAACTTCGCAGTTTAAATGTCCTGATGTGCCTGCATGATCGACGGCTTGTCACTTGAACACTAGCTACCTAAAAAATCTCTGAAACCATTAGACCTTGTTAAATCGTTCTTTCTTCTTGATTTTATTGATTTCCTAAGCAGGTATTTTTACAAATTTTTTTAACTTTCTTTCTTCATTCTAATACGGAACATTTGTGGGAATAACTTATATTTCGTTACTTAGTTTGTGAAAATCTTTAAAGGAAGGAGAAAGCAATTTCAGCTCTCTTACGAATCTCTTACTCTGTTGCTGATCAATTAAAGGACGAACTAATAATTATAAATAAATAATTTAGCTTTCAGCTAAAAGATCTGGAAAACTTAACTAAAAACATAGGCGCGGTCTAATTATCTTTTAGCAAAAACCTTTATGAGTTCAAGATTTCTGTTGTTATCAATTAAAAAGTTTCTTATAGTTTCTTTACAGAAGAAGCGTTTTGTATCAAAGAAGACCTGAGTCCAAATTATTTGATGATCATAGAAAACCAGTTTTATTTCAAAAATAAAACGTGAACATTAACAACTTTAGTCTACTAGTCGAGTTAAGAAGTAAACACGTTCCTTGAGTTTTTTTGTCTTCAACAATTTCTGGGGTGAGGTCGACAATAAATTTTTTGAATTTACAAAAGTGATTAAAATTAAATTATTTATATTCGTAAGCTAACATCTGAGAACAATTAGTAAACATTTTCAAGTTGATGCAGGGTTGTTGAATAGAAGCTCTAAAGCGGATGCCGCTCTTAGCGAATAGTTCAATATGTTGTTTTTGTAAAATGCTTCAATGGTTTTATATAAAAATTAACTTCAATTTATACTACTTTTCTTTCTTTTATTCTAAATCCACAATTCATATAAATTTCTTTTTTCTCTTGTTTTTTTTTTGTTTTTTTTTTTTTTTGCGGAAATCCCGACGGCAAAGTTTAGTTAAGAACT